CATGTAGCAACATTTACATGTAAATGCAATAAACATAAATGTACATGTACTCCATGCTGATACTATACATGTACATGTATACTGTACACTGTTTATTATCACACGTAGACTATTAAAACTTATTAATTCATTTAGGCTTCAGTATACCAAATTTTAAGAATGTATTGATTATATTAAATAAAATAACAGCTATAGATTTAAATTTATAAAGGTACTGTATATATTCTCATTTATAATTATTCAAATATTGACTCATTGACTCATTATGGTATCATTGTATCACACATGCTTGTACATGCACTGCTAGAGTTCAAACTCATAATTCACTTTAAATCTGAATTCAACCAAATCAAGTGTCACTTCATCTTTATCCACTCTCCTGATACACACTTCCCTCAGTCCACTGAGATTGATGGCATGAGCTACCTCTCCACTGATACTGTAAGTCGACCACCTAAAAATAAAAGGACACTTAATTTGGCACAATTTTTTAGCAACTTTAAAAATTTATTAAAAAAATTTCAAATTTGATCGGAATAAGCTCAAACTTTCTACACAATATAAAAACATGTATATGCATTGGGAAAAATTATAAAAATAGAGAATTCCCTCTTTGTGATTTTTTGGCTAAATACCCTGTACTAAAGTACTGGGACAAGAGCCTGAGGATACATGAGGACTACGCCAATATCCTGTGGAAAACCGTCATAAAATGGCAGATCAAATTAAGCAATATTCAGGCACAATGTCTAAACACTGTTTGAATGTAATTCAGGCTCAGCATGCACACGTTACAAAATGAACAAATCATAAACAAAAAAATAACTTGACACACTTCAAAAAATCTAAAAAAAAAGAAAATCTAATCTCACATTTAGCCTGTACATCTGCAGGAATCTTACTCACTTCCAGTAAAAGATTTCCATTACAATTATACACATAATACAATTAGCCTCTTCAGTAATTTCTATACCACTAGGTCTTCTTCTACAATGCATAAACATGTCACAGCATTTTATAAACTATGATACGTACCACAAGAATTTCTAGGATGAGTTTTAGCTTTAAAACTTTAGTTTCTGAGTAGTATTTGCTGGACAGAAAATCCGCCATTTTTAATTACTGCACTTTACACCACGCCTACGTAACACCACAAAATTAACTCTTTGTTTACTCAATTTAACTTCAGCTTTTTTGGAGGACGAGACTATAAAGTTTTTTCCTACTCTTTTCTGCTCCTTTCTTCCTGCTGTCGTAAGGAATAGTAGCTCCAAGAGTGATACGTTTTATCCAGCCAGACATGGAAGCTTTAGCCAGGCTCAACCAAACCTCTACAATCCTTTCATGGAGGAGGCAGGCTCCCACCGGCCTCAGTGCCGACTAGCCTGACCTCTCCTGTAAACTCAGTACCAAACGAGGTAACTGTAATTTAATTTAATGATTTTACCGTGCCAAGGAATATATACATAAATGTGTAAGGAGGATGTACCATTGTTGAAGGGTTGCTGGCAAGGGGACCCAATAGAAGGTCTTGTTGCCATTGGGTATGATAGAAAGCACTCAGAATGGAGGTTGATAATGGCATACTAAATAGCTAGTAATCTTTTGCAAGTTCAGGTTGTCAAAGCTATTGGCCAAATAAAGCCAGCCATTTTGGACCATTATGTGTATGGTCGTATGCTCAAATTAAAACCGACCAATCACTAAAAACTTAGCACCCCTCTACAATTACCAGCCATACAGTATTATGATTGAAGTACTGAGGCACTGTTATTAATGTTAATTTGTAGGTGACTCCACCAGTTGAGGCAGTTATTCTTGTTCTCTCCTTCATCTGGTCTCTACTCTTGTCCTCTTCCTATGACTGATGGAGGAGCTAGACTAATTGAAGTGAGCAGACATTTCACACAAATGCACATTATACTTAATGCATTACATACACATTTACATGTACATGTACATGCACTTACTGATTCTCTGGTGCATACTTCTTGTTGGCCTTGCCCAGCTTTGCGTAGGCGAGGACTAGGTACTCAGTTTGTCTGTCTGTGTTTCATTCATTCATTCTGTGTGCTATATTTTGTCTTTGAGAATGTATATCTTTACAATCGCGTGCTCTAAACCTGTGAGAGGTTCTCTTCTGTTAGGAAAAGTCTTGCTTTACTGCCTTGAGATGTTTAGAGAGCAGCTCTAGCTAGTAGAAGCTTTTTATCTCACGAGAAAATGCCCAGCAATAGCTGTAGTACTCTGGAGGTAAATGAGACTCTTTTCCAGTAGATCAAGACTAGTTATTGTTTTAATATGTGCGGGACTCTTTAAATCTTTCTTGTTGGTGAGTTACAGCTTCTTGAATTTCAACCCGAGTAAACTGTAGGCAGTCTAAAAGTCTTAAACTCTCTCAAATCACTCAATTTACATCTAGGCAACAATATTTGTGCCATTATAATGTCATATAGCACTTATAAGAAGAGAAAAATTTGAAACTTCCTTCTTGTTGCAGGGCTTGCTGCCATCAAATAATTAATTAATAGTTGATGATGTCATGCCACACCTCCAATTTGGGAGTACCTGGATTAGCTTGCATGCTGCTACTTCTGCAGGTAGTCTGCTAGATCTATGCAAGCTAGCTGCTATCCCTCAGGAGTACACTTGTTATATATATATGCAATTTGCATGTTAAAGTTCTTTCAATTTTGATAATCAAACAGCTATATGGGCAAGGCCACGCACCGTAGGTGTCTCATTATTGATTGCTTTTCTATAGCAATGTATGCATGTATGTGTACATGAATGTAATAGAATTATTCTGACAACCACATTGTATACTGGTATGTGTATTATTTATTGCGATAGGTAATGAAGTTAAAAGATACAATGGCTACTACTTATAACAGACTCACTTCAAAGGATCCTAGCAGCTTCTGGACATCAGGACAATGGATGAGAGAGAGAGAGGTGGTGGATCTGATGTTGGTAAGAAAAATCACTTTATTTTTCTCAGTATAGTGATGCCTTTGATATACAGTATTATGATTCTTTTATTATTATAACTAGAGGGACTGCTTCTTATGCCCTCCTGGAAATGGTGACAGGTATTGTCTCCATGGCTATAAGTGGTTCAGTTCAGCCAGTGACAGCCACTGATGCTGATATGGC